CCACCACTGATATTCCTGACTCAACTTAAAATAATAGCGCATGTTGTGCACTGCCAGGCACAGTAAGTCACATGATGTCCAATCCGTTAGATCAATCAGTGGACTTGCCATTTACATTTTACGAAGCATTAACTAGCTGTTAATGCTTTGCATACAACCCACAGCTGCTGCTGAGTTAATGTCCACATATAGATGCAGGCACATAAAGAAAAAAAAAAGAAGGAAATATTGGTGGGGACATGTCCACCCCAGTCCTTTTGGAAGTTACGCCAATGCTCCTTTTTGTCTTCAATGAGCAAAATGTCAACATCACTAAATGAGGTATGATTAACTTTAAACAACTTTTCTCTAAATTACTTACAAGGTGTGTTTTAAATGTGATATTGGGAACATCTTTTCATGTTGAAAACACAAAAAACTCAAATTACTAGGTGCCGATTTAAAAGGAAAAATCCTCAGAATTTCTTAGAATCTCTGGACAGATAATATCAGTCTCTAAATATCAACTTTATTTTCTCATTTGAAGCAATAGGGAAGTTATCAGAGAGAAGCTGAATGAATGTGTCACATCATTCAGCTGGTATAACTACAGGGCACCACAATATTTTTAGGGGAACTACCAGTACATCTGATGCCAATTCATGGAACACTAGTACCCTCTTGTGGACAATATACATATTTCACATTTTAAAGTTCAATCAGCTCTGAAGGTGGGAAAAGAACATCATTTGTATTCTACACAGTGTTTGAAATTCTCACAGAACATTGATTTAAGGTAAATACACATTATCAGAAGGCTGCAGAGTGTGCCAGTTATCGTTAACTTGTAGAAAACCCATCGACTTTTAAGATGTTTCACATCAGCCGCTACAGATTGTAAAGCGTTTCAACACAGCCTGTGAAACAGTTGGAAATATTTACACATGGGAAGAGTGTGTTTCCAAAGCACCTTTTATAAAGGCAAGCAACTTCCTGCTTCTCTAGACACACAACCAGAGATCTAATGAAATCAGTGGATCAACCGAGTTTATTTGTGTAGAACATTTCAGCAATAAGGCAGTTCAATGTGCTCATAAAAACATAAAAATACAAAGTCATAAAAGACACCTTACAGTCTACAATTGAGAAAACCAAAAGAGTTGAATTGTGGAAAACAGGTTGTGACAAACCTTAAAGGATTTCCAGATCACATTGAAGCCAGAGGTGGTTTGATGGAGTTTGGACTCAAATTAACTGAATTTAAAAGTATGCCACACTTTTCAGATTGATGTAAAATAATGAATAAATAAACCATCTGCAGTTTCCATCAGATTTATGCAGTACAGTGCATTGATTATCCACATGAGATTCCTAGAAAATATTATAATTATGAATATGTTAAAGCCTTTGCAAGTGACTATATAAAGATGTTAACTCTGTATTTTTCAATTATGGATGTGCCAGAAACTTAGAGGCAAAAAGTCTACATCAATTACTTTGCATTACTGCAAACTTTAAGCAGATAAGCGTTCAGTCCAACACTTTTTGCTGTAATTTAATAAAACTTTGCAATGTATCCTGGCTTTTCTACAGAAAACACTGCCTGCAGCAGGTCTACCAACTTCCTATGTAATGGAGTACACAGGAGATATCGAAATACAATGTTAGAGTGAATGTTATTTCCCATCCCCACCACTTTCCATTTCTTTTTCTTTACCGCTATCTTGACCTGACTCAGAGGCACGTGACGGTTTCACAATTACCTTCAATTATCCTCACTTCTGGCTCACCAATTACATCCATTATTGATTTTAGAGCCCCCAGGCTGCAAGGCTTATCTGTGGCCTGCCACTATCCAAGGAAACGAAAGCAGAATGGAAGCACATAATAACCGCTTGCTTCATTTTCACTCAGTCTAAGTCACATCACATCTACCATACTAAAATTCTATGACAATCAAGTGTCCTTCAACCCCAAAATAAACTCCAAGTGGAGGGAAATGCGACACACAAAAAAAGGCTGCACCTCAAAAAAGTTCAGAACTTGCGACAAAAACTCTAGAAATCTCAGTTGATTCGTCAGCCTAATTGTTTAAGTAACAATGTAAATACTGCCTATGTTTTGCAAAATGGTTTGTCCATCATGTAGGTGACAGAGTGACAGCACAGCATCCTGTCTTTTCAAGTAGAAAGCAATGACAGGCAGGGACCGGAATAGCAAACAAGATGCGTAGAAGGAAGGAAGGTCAGTTACAAGGTACAGCCGCTGGAAAGACTGTAATCACACTCTGCAGCGCTCTCCTGCCACAATTTTGAATATGATCCTTGCTGACATTTACTGAGACACAAACATAAGCGGCTGTCATCACATGCCGAAGTGAACCATCCATCATCCTGAACACATGCCATGGGTATCTGTGGCGTGGTGCGGCACCATTGCCCCACTGCCACCTTTTATTAGGCAAACTTGCATGAATGAAGCCAAAATACGTTGTTTGCAGTGCAATGCCGCCCTCTTGAGGGTTGGAGATGAAGCATAATGTACAGGAAAAATATATAGATCTAAACAAATATATAGATCTAAACAAATATATAGATCTAAACAAATATATAGATCTACCTTTATTGCATTTCTGGTCCAGTTCTTCGAGAGCCGGAAGTCGCACATACGATACACTCCAAACCTGTTTAGAGAGTAGGGTTCATAATGTTAGTGTAACATCATTATTTCTCTACATTTATTTACATGCATGTGACTTGTGGCATCTCGAGTAACTATTGGTATGAAAGTTGTTTTTCCCAATGCTTTGGAATCATTTTTACAGGGTGAACGAATTTGAATTCAAAGTGTATTTAATGTAATCCACACTGTCTTAAAATCGTGCATAGAAGCTCCAATACATATATTTAATACCATTCAAGTATTCCTTTGCAACTTCTATAATTGTTAAAGTATTTGATCTGGCTCAGTCACAACTGGCAACAACTGATTTAATCATGGTAATCAGGTATCAGGAGATAACACTGCTTGTGTAAAAACAATTGGTTTGCACGTGTCCAGCCCGCAGTTCATCAAGGATGAATCAATCCTGAGAAACCCTTTGTCCTTTTTAAACCTGGTATTCAAGAGTTCCTCACATGATACGCACAAACTTCAATAGGTGCCAAAAAGGCCTATCTGAAAGTTATCGCTTTATTCTGTAACTTGATTGTCACAACAAATTTTCTAAACTTACAGTGTACCACTTAATTTTTAAGATTGATTATAATAACAAATTTTTAAAAATACTAAATTGAAAAGCGCAGAAATGGCTTGAGCGATTTGTTTGGAAACTAACCTGGATGGCACAGGCGTTACTAATTTTCCCTTTTTTTTTAATCACTTCTTTGTTTACTCTTCCAGTTTGTTTGATGTTTATTATACTACCTATTTTATTCGTCAATTATCGAGTAGTTTAATTTTTTGACTTACTTTTCAGTCAGTATAATATTCAGCGACCTGTCCTGCGGGAGCTCAATCGCGAGTTGGGAAAAGGGGCGTGGCTTCCCAACTCTTCATGTGACCTTCACTGGCTGTAGGAAATAAAAATTCAAAGTCAAGGCGCATAGCTACACACACACTGAGTGTGATCGTTCAAATAGCTAGTTCAAATTGTATGTACATTTTGGGGCTTATAAACTATTTTTGTCGCTCTCAAATGTCTCGCTTGTGTTTCCTCAACGGATTTTGTTTTGCAAAAAATCGTAAAATTATAAATACCGCCCAGGTAAATCCTCCAGTTAGCCTAACCCCGAAGCTCAGCAAAAATAAGTATGTTTATTAAGAACAGCGTGTTTTTAAATGACTTAGACTAAGAATACATTTAAAATGATAATTGGTAATAAATAAATAAATAAATAAATGTAACCTCAAGCTTGAGACTGACATTCAGAGTTGGGCAAAATGTTTTTGGACAAAAAAGGTGGCATATGCATAAATAAATAAACAAACAAATATTTCAGCTCACTGAAGCTTACTGTCCCCCTTTTCAATTTTATATCAATCAGTTAATTAGTGAGACTGCTTTTGCAGAGCACAGAAATGGGAATAGGTACATTTACTACATTTACTTGAGCAACTTTTTGGGGGGTAAAAAATTGCTTTAAGAAGAAGTTTTACTACACGCTTGTGTTTATTTTGTTTGAGTAAAATCATTATTAAATAATACTCCCTCTCAGTCATTTGGAGGCCAAGTAAATATACAATAAACATTGTTGTCACTAGAAGCTCTTCTCCCTGTTCCAATATATAATCAACAGCCGCTATAAGAATTAGTTTAGAAAGTCTTACACGGAAAAAATAAATGCTAGACTTTGTTGTTTTTGTTGACAAGTTATGAGTTTTTACCTTTTAAATTCTAGTCACACAATGTCAAAATACATAATTAATACTTTTGTCTGCCAGACTACATTATGTTCAAATGATAAATTGTATGATGTGATCAAAATCTACTCGAGTAATTTATTGCATGACTACTTTTTACTTTTACTTGATTTGAAAGATGTTGAATTGATATTTACTTGATTACAGTTATTGGCTCCTCTGCCTCTGCATGCATGCACACAACCATTAACAAATACAGAAAATGATAGCTGATTAAACATGTTTACCACTGTTACTTTGAAAAAAAGGAAAATTCTAGTTATAAAGAAACTTCATGTAGGTCTAAGCTCCAACACTGATTTGTTTTTTAGTGTCATTTTTTCCTTTCTCATACATAAACAGAGCATATCATCTTGTTTCTCATTAGGAATAAACAGCAATGTTTCATTTTTCCAGCGTGTTTTCGACTCATCGTCTGTAAACCAACGTGACTGCAGAAGCTAAGGGGGTGGTACTTGAACGCACCACCGGATGAGTATTGTTTTTCAGCGCTGGCTCCTCTCCGTCCTCCATCAAAGCCCGGCTCCATCTCCGCTGTACGGCGCAGGCCCGAAGTAGCGCAGCCGCTCTGAGGTTAGTGCCCTACCGCGCAATCTCCATTTATTTCAGCCCCGGCGCAGCCGCATCATCAAACCCGGCAGCGCAGGGGGCGAGAGCTGATGCTTGTTTAGATGTCGACTCGGAGTGCGACTCTTTAGCGTTTAAAGCTGTTTTTTTTTTTTTTTTTTTTTTGGGAGGGAAAGATATTGTTGGCGCGTTTCGACAAGCAGCTCATACAGAGAGTAGCAGCGCTGGATGAGCTCTAGGCCGCTCGGCCTGTTTTTAGCGTTATGTTTTGTTTCATATTGCGCGGGTTTCATGCTAGCTGCTGCTTTACTGTTGATCGCCTCACAGCCTCCACAGACGTCGTTATTGTTCACATCATATTTTAAAGCTGGATTTCTGATATGTGTTCGTAATAGTGCTGATATCATTCAGATAATCGACTGTACACAGCTAAATGGTTAGCCGGTAGGCTAAGTAGCCGAATGTAGGACATAGCCAGCTTAGCTTCCTACAGGACTCATTGATAACAAACAGACTAAAACAAATGTCCTCCGATGCCTGTTTATGTTAGCATGAGCCTCGTTACAGACTTTATGAATTATTACACGTGTATATTGATTTGCTATGGATCTACTGCAAACAAGCTCATCAGCAATGAATTAGATGTTTAGCAGTGTTTCATTTCTATGATCTCTGGATATAAAGTGATCAATTGAAAAATGAGCAAATTTAATGTAATATTTTTATTGGTACTTTTGTAACTCACTTTTTAAATTCTGCAATCTCAGTTTCAAATAATGTATGCTGAAATAAAGTGTGTAAAATTCATGTATGCATGTATGTGTTTGATATGTTTGTTTTTCTTGTTAATGTGACTGTTTCCTCTTAGGCTATAATAACCAAATAGTCTCTACATGCACACACCCAGTTAGCCAATGTTAACAAAAAAATTAATACATTCATTACAACTGCAAAATGTATTTAAAAAATACTTTTATGTGCCTAGTGTGCAGGTAATTATGCATTTTTGCTGGTAACACAAGTATAACAATGTAATACTAACTAACTAATTAGCCTATATGCTAAATCTTCAGCAAGCATAACCTCAGTAAGCACAAGTGTTGGTGCTTCAGTACTTCTAGCACAAATTCTTTGTTGTTTTTTTTTTTCAACCATTAGCAAACATCAGAATTTATCTTTGTTAAAAGTGAAGTAGGATGTTAAGTAGCCTTTCAGCCAGCACACCAGCAGTGCACAGCTAAGAGATCAGTATGGCGCAATTGTTATCTCCTGATTAGGACTGTAGATCATAGAAATATTAATGGCGTGTAACTTACGTGGTTTTGAAACTTGCTCATTTCTGCTGCTTAAAAAGTTGACTGATTTTCTGTCCTTACCATAAAGGCAAGACATCAGCCAAACAAATCGATTCACATCCTCTTCAAAACTGTCTAAATTCTATTGATTAGAATATGTAATTCTAGTTACATTTACAATTTATTTATTTATAAATTAAGTAAAATGAACTTGCTGGTTCATCAACAGCAGTAGTCAAAGAGGAACAGCTTTATTCCAGCTGCTGAGGAGGTTAAGTTGGTAACTGACTCTATAACCCTCGCGCATCACCATGATACCCAACTCAGGAGATTGGATCAGCCTCTTTTTCTGACCTCCTTGACTTAGACCTGACGTTTCTAAAATCCAATTATGCTTTGTTGTAAATAATTTTATTTTAACTCCTTGGCTGAATGTTTATGGCAGCTGTCCTCCTGGAAGATGAACCCCCACCCAATATCACTGATTTTGCATGAATCAGTTCATGTTTCCAGACCTGACAAAAGAAATGTCTTTTGAAACAAAGTATGCATTGGTAAAATGGCCTCGTGATGCAAAATCACGTCCTCTTGTATTTTCTCCAGCAGTTCTGTCGATCTAGCTGTGAAAGCTTTGGCAGCTGATAATGGACGAACACGCAATGAACACGACAGAACACATGACCACCATCGAGGCGAGCGCCGTCAGCCAACAGGTTCGCGTCACTGTTCAAATTTTACAAATTACAAAAATTAAATATTTTTGTTTCTTTAGATATTACCTAATAAAATATGTTTTCTGTTGATATGTACTAATGATATATGTCCTGTAGGTACACGTGACCACCTTCACAGAAGCTTCGATGATGAGCGCAGAGGAAGACTCAACATCCTCTCCAGACGATGACCCCTACGATGACACGGACATCCTCAATTCAGCTGGCACTGATGAGGTCACTGCTCACCTGGCTGCTGCAGGTGGGAACAATATTTACCTGCTAGAGAGAAAACCAGGCTTTATTCTGGGAAGTTTTATGTGCCGTCTCTCAGGTGGTGGTCATAATTCAAATATTTAGAAAGTGTATTTCACTTGGTTTGACAGCAGGTGGTGCCATTGTTCTTAACAGGATTCAAACGCATTCTGTCCTGTCCTGTGGCTGGATTTCGCAGCTCCCAGAAAAATCTGACCTGTATATTCCAGATAAACTTCCTTATTATGCTTTTAAAACTACTGAAAAGTTTATACTTCTCAGTCATTTTAAATGACACATTTGAATCTGGAGAAATATAGAAAATATTACGCAGTTCTTCTGTTGTAATAACAAGTTGTTTCAAAAGCAGATAGCAGATGAAAAAAAAAACCTTTTTGTTTTTGTAGAATTTTAACTAATTTGTTGTTTGCGTCTCAGGTCCAGTAGGCATGGCTGCGGCTGCTGCTGTAGCAACCGGCAAAAAACGAAAAAGACCTCACATCTTTGAGTCAAACCCTTCCATCCGTAAAAGGCAGCAAACTCGTCTGCTCAGGTGAGTTACTCCAACAGATCTCCAAAATTGTAACTTCAGACATTTGAGCTCGCGTCCATGATGCTTTTGATTCGACAAATGGAGTAAAACATGATGTACGTTTATAGGAAACTCCGGGCCACACTGGACGAATACACCACCAGAGTGGGCCAGCAGGCCATAGTGCTGTGTGTCTCCCCCTCCAAACCAAACCCGGTGTTTAAAGTTTTTGGTGCGGCTCCTCTGGAGAACGTGGTGAGTGGATCCACGCAGTTAGAATCTGCTCTAGTCAAATTCAGAGTGCAGTAACTGGAGTCTTGAAGTGTGCCATCTTGTTACGTACAGTGCACTTTGCGGAAATGTTTGGGAAATAAATGGCACTGAGCCTTACAAGGAATACTTGTATGTGATCCAACAAAAGTTTTGCAAAGTCTTAGATTACATTTGTGAAATCATGCAAAAAAATATTCTAGCTTCATGCTCCCAAATGCATTTTTTTTGTGAGATCCCAAAAATCTTTAACAAGATTTTGTGTTAAATTTGTAAGATCCCACTAAAGTTTGTGAAGTGACTTTTGTGAAATCTTGCAAAGATTTTGAAAGTCGTCCAGTTTTATTTTCCCAGAATTTTGCATAGAACTTGTTTTGATTTCGAAACATTTCCAAAATTTCTCAAAATAGAACCTTGGATGATTGAAGAGCTTTGCAGGATGTTGCCAAATAAACACTGCAGTCCTGGAACTTGGGATTTTGCAAAGCTTAAAAGCACTTTTTTATTTAAGCAAAATGTAAATCATAAAAGCAAGTCAGTTTTCTTTACATAATCCACTGTCCTCTGTCTCACATCAGTTCTTCTTTTTTTTCAAGGTGCAAAGTTGAAAAATATCTAAAGAAATCTGAATTTCTCCAGAATAATTGCATAATCAGACCAGAGTCCATCAAAGCTCTGTTTTCAGCATTACAAGTGCTCTTGGAGCTTTTGTTTTTTTAATATAATTCTAATCCAAATATTCTCTGCATAATTCACCGTGTCATGATGTCTGCTGGTCTCCAGGTAAGGAAGTACAAAAGCATGATGTTGGAGGACCTGGAAAACGCGCTAGCTGAGCACGCACCTGCAGGTGGAGACCTGGCATCAGAACTGCCGCCGCTCACCATCGACGGCATCCCAGTCTCTGTGGATAAGATGACACAGGTGAGACGTCAGCAGACTTCTGTCTCATTAAATTAAGGAACAGCTGGTAGCTTTGCAGTAAATGACACGATTCAGCATAAAATTGATGTTCCCAGCAGAGGGCGCCCTCTGACAAACCAGAGTGGCGAAGAAATGATTTTATGCATTAGTATTTCCTTTGGATTTTTATACAGCAGGAAGTAGTGCATCACTGCGACAAAGAGATGAAATGTTCTAAATATTTTACAAGTAAAATAAATGAAAAGTGTTGCATGCATTTATATTAAGCTCCCTTTAACAAAATCCCAATTCTTTACAGCAAAACCATTTAAATATGTGTAAATATACACGTTTAGTTTTCCTTCCCTTTTCCCCTGTCAACTGTGACACTAATTTATAATTGAACGTTGAATCAGCCAAAGCGGAGCAGAATCTCCCATCTTCCAGAAAGTGAGAGGAAGGACGTGCGGCACTGTCTGCTGCTGGCAGGTCCTCTGTTCACCCGAGGGAGTCCGGCTTGTTTACGCTGCCATCCCCGTGCTGCTGACGCACTCTGTGGATCATCGTCAGAGTAGGGCACGCTGGCGGCCCTCAGAGACGGTCCAGGGAGCAACGCAGCCAATCCCGGGGCCAGATAAATCCTCAGAGGCCAGGTGTTAGTCGGCGCTTGTTTTTCTGGAGGTTGTAGGAAGGGATTATTATGAGTAACCTGTTGCCTCACTCAGCATGGCAAGGCCAGGTGGAATGGTGCGGCAGCTCTTAGAGATATGTGTGGTGCCATGTGTTGGAAACGTGAGGCCTTCCTCCCCCTATCGGAAAACCTCGCAAACCGAGGGGACAGAACTCATTAAAGCGACCTGCTTCTCCTGATATATATCACAAAACAATATTCTGCGATATGCTTGACACACATAGACGCCCATCACATATAAGGAGCATCTGTAGCAGGTGATCCCAGGTCTAGCTTGAGCCTGTAATTACCCTCCAGTCTTGTTAGGTTCAGGGACCTGGCAATACAGCCGCCGTGCCGAACTCTGATTGGCCCATTGCTTTGGAGGATTAAGATTGGAAGCGGGGGGTGGGGTGGTCGGCATGAGGGCAACATGCCACTTAACAAACTAGCCACTTTAATTAAGCCATCTGGCCCCGCACACAAACATCCGCATCACCCACAGGTGGAAATGCAAGAATCCCTTTACAGTTAAGTCCCTGCCCTTGGCTAATCCAAGCTGTGTCCCACTGTTTGCTGAACCCAAGCTTCCCTCACTCCAACCACCAGATGTAGCCTCTGTTTCGTCAAAGCGGCTGTAATTAAGCGCCGCCGACCCTCCATTTTCTTCCGAGATCCATTTTGTCGTGTGTCGTCATGTGATGCCTTGCAAAGCAGTTTATTGGTGGCTGATTGTGACTTAGGAGAGCGGGGTTAATACGGAGGAGGCAGGGATTTATTTCTCTCAGAACCAAATTTAGCCTGTGATGTCAAGATAGGCAGACGCTGCAATGCCTCATTGTGCAATATAATCCCCTGGTGATGTGTGCATATTACTGGGACACTGAGGACACGGGCACTAAAACCCCACCACAGCATGCCGGTAACTGTGACTGTATGCATATTTGAAAGGCATAGATGGGACGTTAGGCATTTCAATATTAGTATATAATGGGGGGAGACCATACAAAAAGTTTATTTTAACAAAACAATAATCTTACACCAAGCATTCCTGTTTAAACTGAAACATGGATGGCAAAAAACCATCCTGAACACATTTCCAGTACCCTTAGTCTTATGCACATAGGCACCTTACATGTGACTGGTCCCTATGTGTGTAAGACTAAATATAATCGAGTTCTCCCAACGCGCATAGCTATTCATGTTTCATGTAAGATGAATACTTTGACACTTGTGAAAACTGGAGTAACCATCAATGTTTTGCTGGGCGCTGCATATAAAGCTCCCAGTCATGCTGAGAGTGCTGCACTGCCAGAGCCACACAGGAGGTTCTCCCGGTGTCAGTCTGGAGCCACAGCCATAGATCGGTCTCCTAATGAACATGTTCTCCTTTTAGCAACCCTGTTTCTATTTGCAGTTCTTCACCCTCTCAGTGTGCGTCCAATCAATACGTATCCACTGCGGCCCGCTCAAGGGCGTGTGCGTGTTACTGTGTTCCTTTTTGACCAGAAAGATTTGGCGTTTTACCTTTTCCTCGTGTTTTCGTTCCAGGCTCAACTGCGAGCCTTCATTCCAGAGATGCTCAAGTACTCGACAGGTCGAGGGAAGCCTGGCTGGGGGAAGGAGAGCTGCAAGCCCGTGTGGTGGCCTGACGACATCCCCTGGGCAAACGTTCGCAGCGACGTCCGCACCGAGGAGCAGAAACAAAGGGTACGAAGCATTCCCATGCAGTTATTTGACTGAAAATCCTTCAGGGGTTCCTATGAAGTTGGGAAAAGTTTTGGGAATTTCACAAGTTTGAGGGGGAGGAAATATTTTAAAACCTTTTACCTATTGGTTTGTCTAAGTCGTTCACCTTCTTCTGTCTGCCTGTACATCCTTAAAAGGCCTTTAAGATGTCTCATCAAGATGTTGGTTGAGGCTTCTGGTAACTAGCTGCAGCAAAAAAAAAAAAAAAAAAATTTAATCTTGACACTATGGGGGTTAAGGCTGTACAGCTAAAAGTAACAGACTGCCAGAAATTTCACCACTTTTGTTATTCTTGATTGCAATACAGGAGCTTTCAAACAACTTGTATATTTCTAGTGGTATTTTCCTTAAGTTTTGATCAAGGTGTCATTAAAACACTCTTAAGGTCAACTATATTAATCTATCCAAGAAAATATCAATTGTCAATTCCTCTATTTTCCCAACCATCCATCTTTCCACCTTTGTCATCCTTTGTATATTTGAACTTTGTAAATTTGCATTAGGAGAAGTATGGAAAAATCATGTTTCTGTATCCCGACTCCATCCGTCCCGCTCCGCTAACCATTCTTCGCGCGTTCCTCAGGTGTCGTGGACGCAGGCGTTGCGGACCATAGTGAAGAACTGCTACAAGCAGCACGGCCGCGAGGATCTGCTGTACGCGTTCGAGGACCAGCAGGTGACGACCGCGAGCGCCGCCCAGCACCACCTGACTGCGGCTCAGAGCATCGCTCACCTCGTGCCCTCACAGACCGTCGTACAGACAGTCAACAATCCCGACGGAACCGTCTCGCTCATCCAGGTGTGTGCGCTGCTCTGCTTCTGTCAAGAGTTTTGAATGGCTAGATGTTTCTCAAGATGGCTGAGGGAAGTTTTGACTGATATGTATTATTTCTTTATCTAGGTCGGCACGGGACACACGGTTGCGACTCTGGCAGATGCATCAGAACTTCCCGGCGTCACGGTGGCGCAGGTCAACTACTCGACTGTTACAGACGGGGAGGTAATGTGACTCCATATTACTTTTTGAAACATTAATTACAACGAATGTAGACGTACGCAATTATAGAGGGAGTGGAGGTAAAGGTAGAACACAGCTGCCTTTTTTTGTTCTGAAACTACATTGTCCCAAGGTGGAACAGAACTGGGCCACACTTCAGGGTGGAGAGATGACAATCCAAACAACTCAAGCGTCAGAGGCCACGCAGGCCGTAGCATCGCTGGCTGAAGCCGCAGTCGCTGCCAGTCAAGAGATCCAGCCTGGAGCCACCGTAACCATGGCTCTCAACAGGTCAGTCAACAGGGGTGGGGTCATGTAATGTCCAAAGGAAGTGGGCGTCGACTGAAACTTCTTATGATAACTACAAGGAACATTTATCTGAAGTCCTGTTAATATAATGCATAGGTTATTTCATTTAGAAATCACATTGTATCTGACATTTAGTTTGATTTTAATACACATAAAAAAACAAAACAAATACTGACAAAATCTTCCGTAGTCTTTACATCCTCTCAGATTGTCATACTAGAAGAAAACAGATGGCACTGTCATATCACATCATACAAGCCCTGGGCAATGCAGTGTTTCCCAAACTCTCTGTTCCGGTGTGGAGGATTCATAACGTTTACCTTCATGGCTCTCGTATTTGTTTACACCACTCTTAATTTTCGCTTGAATAAAACTTGCGTCTGCTTCGGCAGGTCACCGGGGTTCAATGCTGATGAGTCATCTCCCTCTCGTGCCATTTCAGCAGCTAATTGATTACCCAACAGTGAATTGTTTGTCATACAAGAACTGTTACTATTTTTAAACAGAAGCCAAAAGGACAGCGACTCAGATAAATTAGTTTTGAATAGCAGGACAAAGGATGCTATTTTTTTTGTAAGATAAAAAGTTTTGAATTTGCTGAATTCATCATTAATTGCCTGAGATGTTTGCTCGCTCTCCACTGGACACTGTCATGGCAATCCTTTTTAGACGTGCATGAGTATCTCCCATCGGGGCTTGTTACCTGCGCCCTCCTGAGTCCTGCTTCCTCTCCCCTCCCCTGCTGCTGTTTACTCGTGCTGAGCTGATCCTCTCCTCTCACCTTGGAACATTTTGTCTGTTTTCCAGCTCCAGAAGACTCTCTGTTGTTGTTTTTTTTTTTTTTTTTCATCACCAAGTACACTTGCAGCGCATCTTTCTTTCCGCTTATCTTGTGCTTCTGTCACAAATATGATTGCCAGCCATTGTAGTTGCTTCCGTAAGTTCATATCAAAGCTGCGGTGGTAATAAGCTGGCGATAATTCCACCGAGTCGATCTGGTTAATAAAACTGCTCTGGTAAAGCCGTAGCACCTGGCCTTTGGGGAGATGTGACAGATTCCCTGTAAGTCCAGACAAGTAAAGCCTCTTACCGTTCATACACTCCTGCCTCTTCACCTCACATCTCTAATAACCCGTGAGCAAGCGTGCGGGCGTGCGTGTATGTGTGTGCGTCTCAAAGCTTTTAGGCTTTCAGCCAGAAGATTCTATCTTTAGGCCGAGACTTTCCATCTACCGTTTTTTTGTTTGTTAGTTTGTTTTGCTAATGTAATAGCATTTTGAAAACATGTGCACAAATGTTTTTTGGTTGTGTTGCAGTGAGGCTGCAGCACACGCTGTAGCAACGCTGGCAGAGGCCACTCTTCAAGGAGGGGGCCAGATCGTGCTGGCAGAGACGGCAGCTGCTGTGGGGGCTCTCGCCGGGGTCCAAGACGCTACAGGTACCGCTTCGCCCTTTGTGACGTCATAAACACGACAGAAGTATCCGTGACCCTTCGTCTTTTCCACGTTAAAGTCACAGACTTGAATATAGTTTATTGGAATTTTATGTGACATACCAACAAACGCAAAGTAGCTCAGAAATGAGTATAACTTTCCTCCACCTCATATTCTTACTGTATTTTCTTTCAGTCCATCACATAAAATCCCATATTTTAGGTCAGAAAGTGTGAAGTTCAGTAAATGCTAACCAGTCAATGGCATTTCCAATTAGCCTTACTACGTGTAAGCTTCACACCAGTGACACTCACCTTAGTTGTAATCTACTCTGTGCTAATTTAACAGATGGTGTGCTTCATCTGTGTGCACCTTGTAGAAACACTTCCTTCTTTGAATGATAAGTTATTCCAGTGCTACACAAAAACTAAACGACTCCAGATCCACGAATAGATCCCTCCTGCAAAGCTTGATCCACTCCATTATCAATCCTGGGTTTAATCGCTTCACCAGCTGTCAGCAACACACACACACACAGATGTCCTCTTGCTTTTCTGTGTACAGTTTATGCACACACAGACATGGTTTCACCTGTTCATTTAGATTTTCAAAATTTCTGCTCTGGAGGGACAATTCAGACACGCCAAGATGTTTGAGCCAGCTTCACTTTCAGTGCTGAATAGGATGGAGCACTTATAGAAAATCAATCGGTTCGCATTCTTGTCTCAGCTTACTGTTCATAGCCTGCAGAGGTTAAGAAAGCCCATGAGTGAAGCGCATGCTAAAGAATCAGCGCACACATAACAAGCACAGTGCAAGAAATTACAATAACTAAATTTACAACAAAGATAAATGATGCAATTGAAGATAAGCTGAAAGAAGCTTTTTTTAAAGTTTTTTTTATGTACTGCTCATTTGAAATAAATGTCATCTTGAGATACTTTACAGGACAAGCAGGTCCATTTTATACAGTCATACAGAATTCAATTTGGTCAAATATAAGCTAATTTTCCTGCAATTCAGTCATATTGCCAGATTCACATCCAATTACATGCATTCTAATTCAACCCTAGATATTATAAAGAGCAATACCATTTGGTGAAAAGCTACATAAAGAAGCCCAGGAAAGAACAATCTGATCCCATCAGTGAAGCTGAATTATGTGATTAAAGATACAGAATTGGATGAATTACACTGGAGTTCATACAATACCCTGTTGAAAAGTTTTCAGTTTCTACTGCACAAGCAGTGTTAAAAAAAATTGTTCTACACTATTGAAAAATTTGTCAAATCAAGATATCAGTGAAAATGTACATCAACATAGTACATCTTAAAATTAAGGGTATTCATTTTTATCATTTATAAATAATGCAATATCTGCTGTTGAGGTCAGCTAATCAGGAGCTATACAGAAGTGAAGAGTAGCCACTGTTTGAAGTGTGCTGACTCAGACCGCTGGCTCGTGTCGTTCACAAACTGACATAAGCGGAGCCGGGCCTCTGTCGTGTCAAAGTGGAAATATCTGAGTGGTCTTTTGGAAGCCTTCAGTCAGTTACTGTAGTTTCTGTGGCCACCTGTTCAGCTTGGCGTTTCTCTAGCTAATCCCTCCTCTAATATCCAGAGCTATTACCAGTCCTAGCACGAGTTAGATGCTTTTAAACACTCTGAAAAGCATAAAAATATGTATGATTTAATTTTATCGAAGGAATTTCTGAGAATCTAAACTATTAATTAGAATTTGTGGATAGAGTAAAATGAATGGATGTATTTTCCCTGGTCTACGCTTACAGTTACAGGAGCGATCGCAAGCCTCTGCCATCTCCTGCGCTGATATTCAGGCCTTCTTGTGACACAGTGACAGCTTGCAGGGAGGAGCAAAGGCCCACATGTCCGCAGCAATAATCCCTACAGGCAGAGACTCAAAACACTAAAACAGCTGGGAATGGGGGAAGCGAGCCGAGGATGTCCAATTGGTACAATGCTCAAATGAAGTAACATGCAGGGTTTCTACACAATCTGAAGGAGTGTGGAATTTCATTTTCATTAGTTTCCAGGGCTGGATAAATATGGGGAAAAAAAGAGACGTTTGCATCAGTACACGCCTCCATCCATCCATTAATCCATTCTGTACATCTAAATTTATCTTCCAATCATCTATACTTCCTTTTATTCAATTGACATGTCCTTTCAGTCCTTCATTCATCAACACAGATCCATTTAATCCAGTCATTCGTTTGTCCATCACCTATATGCTCTCCTATTCATCCAAAGCGTTTTCTTCATCTTGCACCAGGAAATTTTAGCATAAAAACTGAGTAGGAACTCTGACATGTGTTGTTGATGTCTTGACAAAAAACGTCAACGTCTCTGAGAGGTAAATTTATATTTCCTTAGCTTGGTGTTGACGCCACTTCTGCTCTGCGTTCTTCCCTTTAGGATTGGTCCAGATCCCAGTCAGCATGTACCAGACTGTAGTGACCAGCCTCGCCCAGGGCAACCGGCCGGTTCAGGTAGCGATGGCCCCCGTCGCCACACGCATAGACAACACTGTCACACTGGACGGCCACGCAGTGGAGGTCGTGACCTTGGAGCAGTGACACTACGGACGGAGTAGAAAGCACTGAACAGCCATCTTGGAGACTTGTTTCTCTTATGTTTTTTTTCGAGACAACACATTGTGTACGATGTTGAATATATTTTTAAATGTACCACTGCAGGGGAAAGTAAAAATGATTATCAATGCATTGTGTTTACTATGTAAAGATAAGGCTTTTGTTGTTCAATTTCATTTATCTTCTTATTTTTTAAGCTCTGTGATGTTGAGTGTCGAGTATTTATTTCTGTAAAATTAACCCTCACTTTGAACCAAAAAAAAAAAAAAAAAAACCCGGAAGGAAAGCCACCACAATATCATTGCGACATATTTTGGGCTTGATGTGTACGTACTATGTAATGCTAGTGGATTATTTTTATTTGTTCAAAATATGGTGCCACGATCAGCAGTCACTCCCTTAGGTACCTCTCGTTCCCCGTCGCTGCTCCGCACACTCCCGTATCATTTTCTCTCATTAGAGGGGAAAACTAAATTAAATTGCCTTGTCTTGTCATGTGCTTGTTTCCGTTTTTCTTTTATCGCACCCAAACATGCGAAGATCGGCAGTCTCAGGATATTACATTATGCCGTTGTTTACTGCTGCGTTACTAAACCCGTCTTGTTTTTTTAATTATTATTATTATTTATAGTGCATGAACTTGGAGGGGCACCCCTTAGTATTTTATTTTTAACATGGATCATTTGAATCTTGATCAGTGCCCCTTCGCTCATTGCTGGAAGTCAAATTTGGATTAAATGTCACAACATTTGTAATGGAGATGAACATTTTGAGCCGCAAAATAAATTAAATGTGTCTCCAAAGTGGAAGTCTGAAACAGCTGTAACTTTTACTTTAAACTCCACCATGCTTGTGTATTAAGAGACTCCAGTGAGATGTATCTTCCTGACACAAGTTGTGTGTTAATTTATTAATATTAAATAACTAGAGTGACAATGCAGCTCTTCACAATTTGAAATATTTGGGATTTATTTAGTATTTTGTCTGTCTCTTTGGAGGGTTTTCAGCGTGAACATAAGAATCCAGACTTTTGCTCGACCACTTCAGAGCTTGTAAATGTTTTCTTTTTCATTAAAGAAAGGTGGTAGAGCGTGAAGCAGACCCAGACAAACACTCTCCCACCACATTTTTGTATGTCGTTTCTCTAAAGAGCAATTACATTTACACCCAACATAACAGGAAGCTCTTTCGATCACTAAGTAAAGGAGCTTTTAAACTGGACATTGAAGGTTTTTTTTTTTGTTTAAAGGGAAAGTAAGACTGAAATTAAGGGCAGGGCTCCTGGGAATGTCTTTGGCAGGTGGAAGAGAACACGGATATGGTTGGCTAACCTGGCCTTGCTTTGAATGAGACCTTCTGGAAGCAGCTTCTCATCTGGTCTGTTCAACAGCGCCATTCAGAGCCCAACTGGACAATGGGCCCAGTCTGAGGTTCCTAATTTTGTTCTATTAAAAAGGTGAAAAATCTTTTCTTTCTTCCTGAAGTGGTTTTCTTTCAACGAAACTGTATTTTCAAGCCTCTGATCTTGTGTCTGCATGACACACACACACATCAAATCCACAAGTGTGGCTTACGAACCGCTCTCCCAGGTGGCGAAATCAGGCTTGGGAACAGGAAGCAAAAGAGATCCACATTCACAAAGCAGTTCAGGAGTTTCTTAACCAGATTCCAGGACATCTGCTCCCAATCCTCAGAGGACGCAACACACTGCGCAGCTCTCCCAAGGGAATCTGTTGGCAAAGATGGCGATGACAAGTGATCTTTTACCATTTTCAGTGCTCTTCTCCATAATTATCCCACCAAAAGCCCTCAAATATGTAGCCTCAATTACAGAGTCTCTAATTGAAAACAATAGAAATGGCATAGCCACAGTCATTAGAGTAATGAACACAATAACTTTTAATTACAAGCTTTGGTAAACGACACTAAGGCTGAGGCTGGCAGCGCTGATGAGTTTTCTTCACGAGTCGGGAGGCTCAACCAAACACCCTCACATCAGCAGGGTCCTGAGGGCATCAATAATAGTCCACATTGTTGAAGGTCATACAAATACAGGTCACTTTTGGAGCAATAGGCCTGCCTACTTTAAAGGTGTCCTTTTCTTTAAAGTTAAATTTTTGTTCTGTTTTTTTTTTTAATTAATCATGCAATTAGTATTCAGTCTTGTAGGCAACCAGCTTCTTTACGTGTATGAAATCCCTGAAATGAAACAATAGAAGAAAAGGAAACCAAAGGTCATGTTTTATATTCTGTTTAAAACTACTATGGCTAAGAAGTTTTACTGCTTTGTGGCATGATGTAGCTTTTTAAGTGATTTGTCTGTTCAAATCTAATTTATTTGCATCTGATCCATGTGGAACAACAGTTTTGTTTTGGTTTTAAATGTTCTAAATTTTATTCTAATGTAGCCTTTAACATGTCTGGAGTATATATAAATATATTTTTCTTTGTCAGTGGAAGAAATATTTTACATTTATTTAGATTTATGATGCTAATTTAAAATAAGGCAAAAATCTAAAAGCTTTTATCCCCTTTGTTTTCTTTCTGACCAAATTTTGTTCATGTTCTGAGCTTTTGCTGCCCACTTTTTTGTATCTTATTCTCATAGCCTCTTTTTCTTATTTTCAAATTATGCCACATTTCCGTTCATTTCGAACTGGAGTGATGCACATGCCACAAAACCCAATAACCTCAATGCTCCTTTCCACTCCACCCCCCACCTTTCCCGCAGTGACAGACAGGGCCTTGATTACATCATAAGCTGCCTGAACCTCCTCTGCTTTAAAGCCTGGGATTTGCTAGCAGGGCCCTTCTGTTGCGGAGCAGAACAGAGAAAGAGAGAGAGAGAGAGAAGCATACAGGCCCTAATCTATCAGGCGTCATAGTGTGCATCCCACTCTTCCTCCAGATTAAAGCCGAACAAGATTGTTTTCAGACAGATGAAAACATCCTTTATTGCTTATTGTTCTAAACTCTCCTGTTATTTTGGATTGGAACCTTGAAAGTGCGATTCACACAAGACCAAGTGCATGTCTCCACATAGCATTTGAGTCATTTTAAGTTTGATATGCAAACTAACTCTGTAGATTAAAGGACTTATTAGCATGTTTTCCTGGGAGAACCTACCTCCCTCTCTTTTAGTCAGCAACAACCACCACAAAGTGCAATCAAATATTTTAGTAGGTGATGCAACAGCTTTGTGTTTTGCACAAACACAAAGAAATAAATTTTTTTAAGGAGAAAATTCAATAAATACATGATTGATATCCAGGGGTCATATGGATTTTGCAACTAAGAGCTACTTCCTGGATACCGTGTACCAGTGGAACAAGTCAGAGTGGGGCCTTGGGGGCGGGGCTAATGACTCGTAAAACCGAGCACGCAGAGGCACGCGGCGCATGCGCAGCGTGTCGCAGCACCTCTGGATGCTTGTAATTCGGCTCGGATCGCGCGCGCCGCTATTCACACAAACTGGGCGATCTGGAAAATGCTGGCAGAGGTTAACTATAAACTGTCTTGGCTCAAAAACGCTCAACCCGAACTGTCAAAGCGACGATAACTCAGCCTTCAGTCCCTGACGTCACCGCTGTAGCACCGACAGAGAGAAAAGAGGATGTTAGCTTGATGTTAGCTCGGCGGCTAGGCTGATACAGTTTCCAGTCAGTCTACAGTTAACTCTCACTTTGTGAATAATCGCTGGTTCATCTTCAAGACAGGAACAAAATATTCGTCTAGTTTTTCCTCGTCGCTCCATGGAGCTTCACTCATGTTAGCTTAGTATGTAGAAATGCTCTAGCTAGCTCGTTTGCCATCTGTTGCCAAGTGACCGATGATGACGTTTGGTGGACGGCGGGTGACAAGCTTTACCCAGAATACACTTGGAGACAATAAGGACTAAATTTGTGTGTCATAAAGTTAAATTAAATGAAGCCAGTCATGAAGCACAACATTTTATTCAATATTTTACACCCACTATGTCACTAAAATCAGTCAGTCTGGTAAAGTTTTTAGCAAGCATGAGTCAACAATGACTGGGGCAGCCTACCATTTACTCTACAACAGGAGAAGGCCCAACTTTACCAGTTCTCTCCAGATGTGATAGAGGCTTGGATCCCTGAAGGGATATTCTGCCTCCTGTAGGGGCTCTGGCCCTGTAGACCTGTAGACAGGGTGTTGTTTTGAACACCCTGTTGGTGACCCCTGACCTAGACAGAAAAGCTTTGGTTCTCCATCATGAAAGCAATATATTTAGCAGTGAAAGATCCATCCGAAGAGGGGAGGCACTGCCAATGATCTTCTTAGCGGTTGGATGAAGCTTCAGCCATGACTTCAGTGGCACAGCACCACAGGGGGTCAGGGGGCGCACTGCAGGGTGAGCAGGGAGGGGCTGGGTCATTCTTTTTGTCCAGAGTTCTGCAAGCAGACTCTGTAGCCGGGCTTTAATCTCCACTAATCATTGCTTAATACGTGTGCATCCCAGGCCCTCCACCTCTGCACGCATGCACATATATTCCACACATATGGATGACATGCTTCTGGCCTGAGCCCCTACTTGCTCAAACAAGACTTAATCACTTTAAAAAAAAAAAATCACTGCTTTGGAACCAAATGAACGCATATTTCTAGTTGTCCCTTATCAAATTGCCTGTGAACTTCCTAAGATTTTGAAATGACTTAATAACTTTATGTACGAAGTCTTTAATCGGAAGTGTTTGCAACCTAAACTGGAAACACTTTTGAGCTCTTGAAATGGTATAACATCTAGAAAACTATGTATAAATGTTTATGGACTTTCTCGGATTAAAGAAATGTCTTAGAGCAATTAAGAAACGCATATTCAGTTCATATTGTGATATAGTTTTTTCATACTTCCCACAATCCACCTCTGACTGGTTGAACCCTTCAAGCTCTAATCAAGCTCTTCATGATGACTCCTCTTCCAGAAGTATTCACTGATAAAAGCAGTGCTTAGACCGAGATTCAGTAAGAAAGATCTACAAAACCCACCAGGAGGGTTTGCCTAACCAAGTCATTGCTATAATTAATGACTATTAATGACCAGCAATTATTTGTCAATATTTTGTAGAAATCAGTTGTCACTTTGAATTAAAACCTCACTTATTTTAAACTTATTTTTTATCAGCAAAGCTACATTTTGTTGATCATGACTGATTTGTAAATGCAATAGAAGGGTCAAACATCCAAAGGAGTGAATAGTTTTACACGCATTGTGCATCAACATGCGAGCTAAGGAATAAGGTTGAATTGCAACTGTACAGCCTAAGTGGAAAAAGTTTGCTTTTGAGATCGACTGACAGACGGACCTGATTGATCCGCGAACCTCAAGCTAAGATAGCTTAATCACACTACAAAGTGGAAAGACACGCTTAAAGATCCTGTCTTTCAAACCACGTCTCCATAAAATGGAAAATGTTCAACGACCTGCGGAAAGGCAATGAAAATAATGGGATAAAATGCAGACATGCCTGCTGATGAAGCATCTTCCGCCTTAAATGCAGCCTAATAGCGGCCGACTCACACCTCCGTCCAACTCGGGTCCAGACACTGCGTAAGGACGAAGATAATCTTATTTCACTAATGCTCTGTAGCCTGCTTTAGAACACAGGAGAAGCACTGTCTCAGCTCGACTCTACCCACCCAGGAAACTGCGAGTGAGTCAGACTGAGGGAGAAAGGGGCCAGAGAGTTGCTGAAGGTGGTGGTTGGGAGGCGGGGTGGTCTGTGGGGATAGAGGGTGCACTCAAAAATGCAGTGTAACCTGATCTGTTCGGCCCATCTGGAGAAGGCCTCGCATTGACAGGGGTGATCCCACAATGCACTTTGCTGCAGAGAAGATCGTTAGAGGGAAGCTGACACAATGGACGCAGTCTTTTTGGAAGAATTTATTACGGACTTTTTTTGGGGTGTGCTAAAAAAAGAAAAACACGTAACTTGAGAGATGAGTCAGCAGGTGCCAGCACACTGGAACTTACAGACTAGATGGTTTTGGTTAAGGCCTTTTGCCCGCAGAACACAGGTTTTCATTTAGATCATCCCAAATATGAATCTGAACAACCTTAGCACTTACCGACTCTCTTAGTGCCTCAACTGTGCAAAAGCGTAAGAGCCTTTTGCTGAAGTCCAATGATGACATCCTGGTAGATCAAATACACCAGGTCTTCAGGCAAACTGTTGACAATACAAATCATATTAGCTAAAGCTCAAGTGTGGGCCATAAAGCAGGATTTATGCAAAGGCAGATAAAGGGTTTTAAATCTCACCATATCCCCCTGTCACCTAGATTAGCAGACCCTGACCCAGATATAGAAAGCTCAGAGTAGAGCAGTTTTATTTTTCTTGATTTGAGCCAAACTGTCAATTCACTGTTAGTGCAAGGTAACATCTGAGGGAGAGTCCCTCGCTTGCAACCATTCGTCGTCAACAAGGCTGCATTGAAAGAGGAGGGTAAGACGACACCGCGTGGGTCGGCAATTATGCCACAGGAGCTAAGAGAGGAGTCCTCTGATGGCCGCTGGCTGCAAGCAGGAATGGCTGGACATCTGTGCAAGAAGTCCACTGCAGCACATCTCATATCACTGCGCCATCAAAGTCAAAAACCTATCAGGAAAAACTGACTGATGGGCAGAGAAATCCATTATTGTTGTTGCATTCTCAGCACAAGCAATTTGTTTCATCCATTAAACGCATGAATGGTCTCCAAGAACTTACTGCCATTGAGAGGTCCGCTTATCTATTTTTTCTAAGAACACGTTAGCTATTTTAGTGCATGTCAAAAAAACAAGTGATCGTGGTAAATTCAATCAAATTATTATTTTCAATCAAGCTATTCCTTAAGGGTTCCCTAAAAGTTCTCACTTTTGCACATTCTATCGGTACAAATTCTATCCATACCACTTCTATGTGGTAATAAATATTAGTTTAAGTGGTAAAAATGACAACTCACCTCCGGTCATGGAAAATGTGACAGGTCTGCCAGCTAACTGATGTGCAAAAATGAGCTGACGGCTGAATTAAAACACCCATTCAGTTGTTATCTAAACAAAATTTGACTAGTTGCTCGCTAAAGATTGACATCAAATTCCAGAGTCAAGAAAAGTGTTACTTCGCCTGACACAAGCCACCAAGGCATCTGCTCATCAAAGTCTTTACAGGAGCCCTCAGTAAAACTTTTGACAATGTCACATTCCCAAAAGAAATGGGACATTATGAGAGTCTCACAATAGCATAAAAAAACATGGTTTCATAGCATTTACATTCAAATTAACATAACAAGCAGCTATAAGTTGGCTAGTCATGCTATTTTCTAAGGCAGCCTGCAAATACTTAATTACTTAACAGGCATTCAGGGTTAGCTTAACATTGTTAGTTTCAAAGCAGTGTTCCCCTTATAAGAGTGGTAGACAGTCAGGATAGCAATATGTTGGGTAGGAGCAGAGCAACTTTGATTGAAAAACACTCTAGTCATTACAGCACTTTCTTTGACATCATATTTAAGAGTATGCTAAGCTATAAGAAATACAGTGTTGGAATGTTTTTGTGTTTAATCTTGATATTAGTTAAAAATTGTTAAGTGACCTGAAGGTAGGAGCTTTTCTTCAGCAGTCAGTAGACATGAGATTAGTAGTCTATGGGTACCTGATGGTTAGAGTGCTTTTCATGGGCAAATAGTCACGTAAAACACAGGTTCCCGACCCTGGTTCTCAGGCCCGTCCAACATGTTTAAGATGTGTCCTTGTTCCAGCACATGTGTTATATGTGACACCTGATTCAAATGATTGCGCGACCTTCTCTGCAGGCCATCTAGTGCTACTGAAGTCACCCAGTAAGTCAGGTGTGTGACAGCAAGGAGACACTTAAAACATTCAGGACAGGGGTGTTTGAGGAACTTTGTTGGGAGACAGTACAATATTGGATAGAATATTTTGATGAATTAACTTCTCATTTTTTTCCTGAACATACTGTATACACCCCACTAGTAGTTGACTTGTGGTTTTATTGAAAGATATTACAAGTTTTTTTTATTTTTTTTCTTCATTTTTGGAGTGTTTAAACACATTTCAGCTCTGAGTGCATCCTGCTAAAAAAACAAAAAAAACTTTTATTGACCTTTGACTAAAAACTCCATATCATATAAGTGGAAGATAATGGATGAATGGATGGACTTGAAACTTCAAGGTATGTTTTGTCTTCTACTGTGCCTACGATGCCACAAAAAGATGCAGCGAGCATCAAATTCGCCATGAATTTTCACAACATTTATGGCAGTGTAGTTGTCCTTTTTTACTTACATGACAGCAAAAAAAATGTGAGGCTTTTGCTTTAATCCAACCATTACAATTGTAAGTGAACTGTCCAGATGTGTAACCCATCATAGATATGTTCCAGCAGCAGGGTGTGGAAAACGAAAGGCTGGATGATCTTCGAGACCACGCACCAAAAGCCTAAAATGATCTTCACGGAGTTACTGGAGCTCTGAGGCCAGGGTGTGCAGGGGAGGAACAGAGGCTCACCCCACCCTTCATCACCTCCAGCCACTCACTCACTCACTAAAAATGTAAAAATGTTCCTCGGGCTTTTATCAGCACAGGTTGTTGTCGCTTTTAGCTGGCGGACGCTCCCAGACAGTAGTTGGCAAGTCTAGAACCACCGGATCCATCTACCTCACCAGTGTGAGTTCTACCATTGCCAAACACCACCTGAGAGCTGCCGGGACTCTCTGAACCCACAGAAGCCAAAAACATGACGAAAATGAAGACAAACAGTTTTGTTGGAGCCATAAATGTACATGGGTAAAAAAACAAGGTAAGATTTTTTTTTCTTTGATTTGGGGAGAGTCCTCTTGGGTGTTGACTTCCATTATAACATTCTCATAAAATGGGTCCATTTCCCCCGAGGAATATAAACGAGAGTTAAGCAACCAAACAAATCAAATTGGATAGCGAAAGCATTCCAATCCACAACCAAGCGAGCGAATTCGTTGGAAATCTGTCTTGTCCTATATTGGCACTACACATAATTGCTCAAAGTATATAT